GAGGGGCCGCGGCCCCGCCGGGTTCGCTTGAGGGTCCGAGGCTCGGCTTTAGCCCCCTCTCGAGACTTGCTTGACACCGGCCCGCCCGCGGCCGATAGCCCGCTCTGTCTAGTGGGCAAAGTGGTGAATGAGGGAGACGGGACGTCTTCGTGTGACGGGAGCCGCAGGAGGTCCGAGGGAGGAGGACGGTCCGGTGCCGGTCACCCCCCGGCTGTGGGGTGGCTGCTGTGGGGCCGGCACCTGCCCCCAGAGGGCTTTACCAAGAGTGTCCAGTTCCTCCCCAGTGCTCCTGAAAGGGCTCTGCTGCCTCAGAAAACTCCAGAGTTTGTAGCTCCTTGGGCTCCAGGTACGGGGACGTTTGGGCACACGTGCTAAGTAATGAAAACAGCTGAGGGAATTGCGGAACAGAGCTACTTCTTGTTTCTGTCGTGGTTTCCAAAGCTGTGATCTGGGACGTGGTCTGAGGAAGCAGGGAATGCTCTTTGCAAAGATCTGGTACGAGAAGAAACTGGGGAGAGGGGAATGGGGGGGGATAAGGGAAAAGGTGTGAGGTGGGAGAAGAGCTCCAGCGAGGTCCCTGGAGTCAGGTCACACGGGAGCGCTGAGGCACTATAGATTAAGTGGGAACTCATTGCTAATTCAGAGTGGAAACATCTTCTTTAATGACCTTCATTCCACACAAAGAAAACAGTGATAAACCCAGTGGAAATCCTGTCCTGTGTGATAAACTTCTGCCCTCTGAAATAGATGCCTGCGCTGCTGCTGTCTCCCCGTGGCTATTAACTCCTCTCTCCTTCACCTGTGATCCCATTTTCATGTTGTGCTCTTTTCTGAGAACTGCAGAATATGAGTTGAGTTACCTGGGGAGAATAAAGCACAAAGTCCAGTATGGACTTTCTAAGAGGCCTTTTCTCTTGGGCCACGATCAAAGGGACTGGGGGCAGTTTGTCAGTTTTGAAGCTAATGCAGATAGAAGCATTTTCTCCATGAGAGGACTGCATTGCATTGATCTTTGCCATATTGCTCTGTGTTTTAGTATCCAAAAGGGGATCTAGCTGTCATCTGTTCCACTTGTCAATACAATGAGCTCCTAGGTGATAAGCTAGTCTCACATTTTTGAACAGTATCAAAGTCCGTGAAGATTCCCACTTACTTTCTTAGTGGAGTGAGATCCCAGCTTAGCCTTCCAGCATAGCTGACCAGGTATATTTGTCTGCTGCCCTGGTGTTTGTGGTGGCATCCCCCATCCTGCCTTCTGACAGGGCTCGGGTTGCCCTGTGGTGCTCAGGTTGCTTTTATCCATCCCTTCCCTTATTTCCTTCTTTTTGCAGAGGCACGCTGGGCTCTGACAAGCAGAGCATGTGAGTGCACTCTGCCCTGTAATCCAATAGGACATGTGCACTGTGCATGCTACAGGCTGGGCCCTGTGCATAGCACAGACCTCTGTTTTCGGTCCAGAAGGCTGATTAGGAGAGACACGGTGCAGAGAGCAGTGTTGTAAGATAGCCTTGTCCTGCCTCATTTCACGTAGGATATTGCCTTTAGTTCCCTGTTGTTGGTTTGGGGGATGCACAGAGCAGATCTGAGCCACCACAGCTCCCTGTGCAGTCACTGCCTGTGTCAGTACAAGGTGTGTGAGTCCGATCAGACATCGTGGTGTGCTGAGCTGACAGCACAGGACTAAAAAGATTACAACATCTTCACTTTTTTTTTTTCCCACCTCCTCACTCTCATCCTCTGCCAGCTCTGCTGTATTGATCCAGTGTCAGGGATACAAGGAACTGTTGTAAGGGATGGTGAGTTACACAGTCAAGGTGGGAAAGAACTGTCACCTGAGAAAAGATCCGAGAGAGAAAAATCAGAAAATGCTTTTAAAATAGAAGTGTGGGTCAAGAGACCTGCCAAGTGAGAGGATAGATGTCTCTCCTGCAGACTTGGAGAGACAATGAGACTCAGGATAGCTTATCAAATAGAGATTATGGAGAGCAGAGCATGTGAGGACAGGGGGAAATAATGTGCACTGTCTATAGACGTTAGAGACAATTTGTAAAGCAGGTTGAGAACTCTGGATATAAGATTCCCTATCAGAATAAGTGTTCACCAATGATTGTCCAATAAAGTGGTGATGCTGGGGAGGTGCAAGACAAATACTGAGGTGTTGTTTTCCCAGCTCCTGTTTGTTATGTGTGGTAGTGTGCCTGTGGAGGGGCTATTCCCAATCAGTCTGGGTTGACTCAGATTTCTTGGTTTTAGTTCATGTTTTGACATTTTACTGCAGACTTGAAGATCTAAACCTTCATTTTGGATTTACATGCTGTTCATAATCCCCAGATTGTGGGTTAGATTGCATTTGTATTGTATGGAGTTAATTATGCTAATAATCTGTAATAGACATAATGCATATATCTTATTGTGTGCTGCCAGCTCTTAGAGTTTGTATGTATTTACTATAATTAAAACTATCAGCAAATGTGTCCACTGTAAAAAACATATATTAGTGAATCCTTGCACTCTTTTTGGACGTTTCCATTTTGTAGATGAGGAAACTGAGGTACAGGTGGATTAAACAGTTTCTTCATAGAAAATAACTGTCAGTCTGGAGATGCAGAGCAAGGACATTATGTGAGCAGAGAAAACCCGTGTATTAGCACATCCTATGTTGGAGTATAGGTCATGCATGTTGCTCGTGCATAAAGTAGCCAAGTAATTACATTCTGCAGTAAAATTAGGATGCATTGATGCTCCATCCTTGGGATACCACTGTATGGCCAACACCATGATTTTTGCTTCCCCCTGGAAACACAGAACTGAATTTGCCATCAGGTGCAGTATTAGAGTTGAGGGTGACAACCACATTTTGTTCCACTGGATGCACATTGCATCCCCAGATAACCCCACAGCCGAAAATACAAAACAATCTGGCTAAAATTAAAACTGCTTCTTAAATCCTGTCTGATGTTGCCCGAAGCTTTTTGTTCAGTTTATCTTCACAAGGTCACTGAGACAGAAGAGTGCATTCTGTGAGCCTGCTGGCCTGGAGCCTTTCATGCAGATGCTTTCATTTAACATTTGGGACATTCTCCTTCTCCCTTTGGTCCCCATTTTCCATATCTCTCTACTCCTCCCTTTTGAGCTCAGGTTCCCTTGGATCAATACATGT